TTTTCCAGTTGTTGATGTGCAATTTCTGGATCCTTAAATTAAACTTGGAGACAAAAACAGTTACATTGGCGAAACAAAAATAAGACATTTCAACCCAGAGCAAAAATAATTTGTTTAGCGTTCCAGAGCAAAAATAATTTGCCCTGATTGTTTAGTATTGCCAAGAAAATTAAATTCAATTAAATATTAAGAGTTGAAATCCGCGTGGCTTGATCATTTTTTAAGCTTTGAGGAAAAAAATACACGAGTTAGACCGCAGATTAAAACGTTCTTTGGAAATGGCGCGTACAATGAATGAGAAAGTGAGCAAGATTTCTCGAATCAAGACAAAGTCTTGAATTTTCCGACTGTCTTTTAATCTATTTGAAGCAGTTTTAGCTGTTAACAGAATAGATGAAACTTACAAAAAAATTTTTAAAAACTAAAAGTTTGTTTTCAAAAACCATTCAACCGTTCCCTATTTAAAGTAGAGATATTAAATATACCAAATGGGAATTCTCTATTTAATTTAGAACTATTTGATAGACGGATTATTTCTCTGCTTATGCGTTAATGGCTAGTCAATTTTAACAGAGTTCTTACTTAGTTTAGAGGTTTTACAGTCCAGAAAAAGGTTCACGTTATTTCAAATCAGGTTCACACAATTCTTCTTTAAGATTTTAGCAGTAAATTTACTCGTAGTTAGTTTGTTTTGACAAACTAGTCCGTTTTATTGTTCCGACTTTCGATACGAAAGTAACGGAATATTTGTGCTCGGGGTGGTTTTTTTTTCTTCAGACAAATTTCGACTTTTTAAATAGCCATTTTTGACGGAATTTTTTTTATATCATTCGAGAGTTTTTGGTGTCTTGAGCTTAAATTTGAAAAATTTCTTCACCTGTGCACACTTTTCGTGAAATTATGGGGTTTAAAGATAACCATTTTGGTCAATTTGGGACAATTAACGCTCTATATATTTCGCGCTATTAAAGCGTAAGCGGAGATTTAATCCGCCCTAGAAATCGTTCCAAGATGGTTCAAGAAAGCTTATATGCCATAAATGATATAATAATAGGAGCGAAAAATATCTTTTTGTACTTTATATGGCGTGTGGGGGGATGATTTTCATTAGAAAAATTTCAAATTTAAGAAAAAAAATTTTCCTTTTAATTTATTATGTTTAATTTTTTTCTGTTATTACTGCTCATGAAACCTCAAACGGCAGTCGGAATTTTCAGGGCTTCGCCCTGATACGAGCAGTCTTGTTTCTTCTTGCTGTCATTGACAAACGTTTCTAGGGTTCATTGCAAACGCTTCGCAATATGTGCCATGTTTAGGTTTTCTTTCCTAGTTTTAAAACAATTGAAGAGTTTCCATCGTTGCTCAGCGCCAACGTCTTTCTCGTGTTACAAGTTTTCAATACATGGAGCCAGATGAGAAACGAACGATTTATGATGATGTTCAATTTAATTGTGTAAGCAAAACAAAACACTTAAAAAAATTACAGCCAAATTATTTTTCCAATTAGTGTCGTTGCTTTTCGGCTTGGTTTGATAAAACAACCTGAGCAAAAAAAAGAGCAGTCAGTCAAGTAAAATATGCAAATTGGAAAAAAAAAAGGACAAATAGCAAGAAACACAAACAAAAAAGTTTTTTGAAGCTTTTGATATTCTGAAGCTAAAAAATTTAAAAATTCTGAATTTAAAATTCTTCAGCTAATAACTCCAAAAATTAACTTCCTTTGAGTAAATGTAAGTTTTCAAGGCTTAAATTAAACATAAATAAGCTAATGTAAGCCTCACTCACTCGAAATTAGATGAAAAATTTCAGTGGTTTTTCTCGACACCGCGAAAAAAAATTTGAAATTTTTTGAAGTCCGTGGAATCACGACTGAAAGGGCTTCAATACGATATATCACTGAACCCAGTACGATCATTATTTGTGGTACCTGATTTTGCTTGGAGAACAAAAAGCAAACAAGAACTAAAACACACCCGAATACATATTCAATGTTCGGAACAATTATTTCCAATCTATCGTCTTTTCCAGTTGTTGATGTGCAATTTCTGGATCCTTAAATTAAACTTGGAGACAAAAACAGTTACATTGGCGAAACAAAAATAAGACATTTCAATCCAGAGCAAAAATAATTTGTTTAGCGTTCCAGAGCAAAAATAATTTGCCATGATTGTTTAGTATTGCCGAGAAAATTAAGTTCAGTGAAATATTAAGAGTTGAAATCCGCGTGGCTTGATCATTTTTTAAGCTTGGAAGAAAAAAATACACGAGTTAGACCGCAGTTTAAATCGCTCTTTGGAAATGGCGCATTCAATGAATGAGAAAGTGAGCAAGATTTCTCGAATCAAGACAAATCTTGAATTTTCCGACTGTCTTTTAATCTATTTGAAGCAGTTTTAGCTGTTAACAGAATTGATGAAACTTACAACAAAAAATTTATAAACTAAAAGTTTGTTTTCAAAAACCATTCCACCACTCCCTATGTAAAGTACAGATATGAAATATACCAAATGGGAATTCTCTATTTAATTTAGAACTATTTTATAGACGGATTAGTTCTCTGCTTATGCGTTAATGGCTAGTCAATTTTAACAGAATTCTTACTTAGTTTAGAGCTTTTACAGTCCAGAAAAAGGTTCACGTTATTTCAAATCAGGTTCACACAATTCTCCTTTAAGATTTTAGGGGGGCGTTAGACAGTGCCGAAGTTAGAGAGTGCCGAAAAAGGCGGGAAATATTGGAACGCAATTTAAGAGGCTAGCTTTTGGCGGGAAAATTAATAATGACACTTGAAACTTGTTCAGACTCAATTTTGGCGCCAAAATCGATGAGCAAACAAAACTTTCTTTTCTTTTCTCAATTAGTTCACGACAAATAAGTCAGTTTCTTTCATTTTCGGCAGTCTTTTTTTCAAATTGTTCAGACTCAATTTTGGCGCCAAAATCGATGAGCAAACAAAACTTTCTTTTCTTTTCTCAATTAGTTCACGACAAATAAGTCAGTTTCTTTCATTTTCGGCACTCTTTAACAAATTTTTGTTTTCGGCACTCTCTTACTTCGGCACTGTCTTACCCAACCGATTTTAGCAGTAAAATTACTCGTACTTAGATTGTTTTCGACTTTTTAACTAGCCATTTTTGACGGAATTTTTTTATATCATTCAAAAGGTATTGTTGTTTTGAGCTTAAGGTTGAAAAGGTAATTCACCTGTGATCATTTTTTGTAAAGTTATGAGGGTTTAAAGATTGCCATTTTGGCCAATTTGGGACAATTAACGCGCGATATATTTCGCGCTATTAACGCGTATGCGGAGATTTAATCAGTCTTAGAAATCGCTCCGAATTGGTTGAAAGAAGCTTATTTGCCATGAATGATTTGTTACAAGGAGCGAAATCTATTCTTTTGTAGTTTGTATGGCGTGTGGGGGGATGATTTTTATGGATTTAGAATTTTTTTTCATTTTTTTAAAATTTAATTTGTTAATGATATTTGTGTTATTACTGCTCCATAAACCTTAAAAGGCAGTCGGAACATTCAGGGCTTTGCCCTGATACGAGCAGTCTTGATAATTTGAAAATTTAATCTTAACTTTTTATCTAATTTTTGCTTCAGATAGCCTTAAAATGAGAATTTTCTGCATTTTTATTTGATACGAATAGGTTTAAAGCAAGAACTACCTGAAAAAATTAAAAAGTGTTTTGTTTTAAAGGCAACAAAAACAACTACTCGAACAAATTTTGGATACAATTTACTCTTAAAATTTTGAATTTATTCCTCATCCTTTAACTCGCGCAAAAAATAAGAGACAGGTCAAAAAACTTGAAAATTCGTTTTTTCGGGACATTTCAGATAGTTTTTTTCTACAAATCTGCCACAAACAGTCATTTAAATTAATCAAAACCAGGGGCTGATCTAGGATTTTCTCGAGGGGGGGCGGTTTTTCAAAAAAATTTTGAAATTTTGTCGACTTTTTATTTTTTTAGGTCGACCATATTGGTTTTCCAAGCTGTCTCAAAGCACTGAAAAGTCCCTTTTTTGGCAAAAATTTCTGCGCCGCAGGCAACATTTAGAAAAAACAGGCCAAAAAGCGTTTTTAGGCACTTTTTGGAAATTTTTACCAAAAAATCGAGTTTTTTCAGCTCGCGCTCCCCCCTTAAAATAAGTATATATTGGCGCCTAAGGCGCCTTTTGAAAAACTTTAGGGTCCGTCAGCCAAATTGGATATCTCAAAATAGTTCAAAGTGGGGACCCTTTGGGTCGGCAGGGGGTCGAATCCCTTTATGGGGATGGAAACATTTCCTTAGGTAGAAACAAAGGGGTTGGAGAGAATAATTCGCAGGACCCTAAGACTTCAGTGCTCGAGTAAAAGTTCACCATTTAAGGAAATGTTATAAGCTAAATTAATTGCAAAAAAACGTTGGAGGTATTTAAAATTTCAGGTGCGACTAAACCAACAGCACATGTGATTATGAAGACAATAAACAAGTGACGCAGTTTGAATTAGTTTTGGAGTAGAATCAAATGAATTGCTTGGAATCATTTTTCCTAGCAATTTTCTTTTATAACATTTTTTCCCTGTATTTTTTACCAATTTAGATACGTCAGTTGACTATGTATACTGCTAATTATTAGTAAATCATAGTTTATGCGTCAGAAAAACTTGTTCCAGGTGCAAAAGTGATAAACAGTTTCTTCATCCAACCCCCCCCCCCCCTCTCCTCTCACCTTCACTCACCTAACACCCTCCCCACATTTTTCAAAATCAAATTATATTCCAAAAGCAAGACTCTTTTCATAATCATTTGAAGCTAATGCAATCAAAACGCATCAGTTGTTAGTGCCATAAACTGGCCAAAACTAATCAAAAAGAGCTAAAGAACAAAAAATGTAATTCTTATAAAAAACTATAAAGATAAATACTAATAAAATTAAGCAAAACCGGTTTAGTTGCGTCACGGCTGCAAACCATATTTGGGCGAGCATTTCATCTTTATGTAAAGTAAAATTGCAGGCTGATTTTTAGCGTTTTAATCAAAGCTAGAAAGATCGTTACATGTTTATAATTAAAACAAAAAGGGGCTCATATGAAAAGTTAGAAGCCAGAGACTCGAATTGATGTGAATCATTAAAATTTCTATCTCTCTTGCCAACAAGTCGACCATTTCAGGCTATTGAGAAGGCGTCAAATACAAACAATTTTTCCCATAAACAACTTCAAATTGTAAACTCAGGTAAGTTATCTGCATTTAAATCATGCAAAATCTGCAAAATTAGTCAATTTTGTGCGCTAGTAGCACAGTGTGAAAGTTTTCCAAATGTTTTGTTTTGGCAAAATAAACAAAATAGCACTCAAGATAATTTTTTCTCGATTTGTTTTTTCATAAAAGTCAATAAAGCATTCGAAAATAATTGAAGAAAAAAGTTTGGCACGGATTTCAAACTACAAAAAATATTCAAGGGCTGAACTTAAAAAATAACAAACGACTCGGATCAAGGCACAACTCCGAATGTCCCGACAGATTTTTATTGTATTTAACTTTTTAAAAAAATACGTCAAAAACTTCAATTTTTTCGTGTTTGAAAATTTCCCGCTATATGCAAATTTTATTGCGACCCTATTAAATTTTCCTCCCCTAACGCTTTTTCGAACCAAATATTTTTTTCTGATCATTTTAGAAATAGCAAAACTTCGAAGCTACCCTGAGTAAAAACGAAACTACTCGTAATTTAGAGCAAACCCCTGAAAGTTCCGACTGTATTTCACCTGGTCTCTTCACTTTTTGTATCATAAGTTTTTGACTGTCGATACGAAACATTAAGTGCATAATTCGAGTCTTATGCAGAATCAATATGACCGATTATGTGGCCTCATTTTTCCTTACGCTTTCAGCATCATGGATGTAAGTTCAAAAGCGCGCATAAGTTAGCCCAGAATATGGTCAGAAATCAGAGTCTCGAAGTTTCAAAAAATCATAATTTTATCAAACTTGATAGAAGGTACAATACGTTTTACAATTGTACTCCGAGTCGGAGACGATATCAATATCGAAGTATTACAAGCATTTCGGCGATAACTGGTCGGAATTAAGAATCTAGCCCAAGCATAAGTCATCCGGCACATTTTTTTTAAATTTGGAACCGCCAGCCAGAACATTAACTATGTTACCGTTCTCAGAAACGAAATACCTCGCTAGCAACCAGTTT